CCGTATATCTCGGCCTACAAGGCGACGGGGTGTAAAAGACGGCCCCCAAAATTTCCATTTAAAAAGTAGCTTTTGAGCCCTATTCGCTGTATAAGACCGGTGCCCCAAATGTGACACTTACCATTGGGAGCTTACTGACCCAGTAGTCCTTTACCAACCATCCCATTGACCAGTGCTGTTTACACATCCTTGGTTTTTTAAAATAAAGCCAATTCACTTCAAGTAATGGCATCAAACGTTACCGGTTGATGTAGTGTAAACACGTGACTCACTTAAAAGTTTGTTATTTAACTTGAACTAATGTCGGTGTCGAATACAATTGTTTCATTTACTTAAAATGGATTTACCGATTTATTTGTTTATTTATATCATACTGTAATATATTAAACACACTGGAAGTATTTTCTTTAATTTATAAGCTTGCTTCAGCGAGCTACAGTATTCTAATTCAATAGTGTTTCATTAGGATTTGAGTGAAAAAGATTACTGTACATACTTACTACATACATTTATTACACAAATATATATATATATATATTCACAATATTTTATAATTGCAGTCATGTACTGAATATTCTATGTAAAAAATATAAATTTTAAATGAATTATTTCTAGTGTGGTCGACTTCCTACACAAAGACAGGCTATAAATAGCTGTCTTATCTCCCCTCTGTTCTGAGAGAGAAGGTCTTGGTAAATAACTTTTGTTTGTTTATTTTCATTGTTTGTCAAATTTATCATGTTGTATCAAAGTAATATTACTAAAAGTTTTAGGCAGCTACCAAACAGGGAGATTCTACTGCCTGGGAAGATATTGGAAGCATAATGTACAGTATTGTCAAATGGTAGACCCTACTTCCATATGGCATCACGAAAATTGTGACCAAGTCTTAGGTTGCTGATTTATCTTACTGCCTCATTTACACACAATTGCTGAGTTTCAATTGTTTCTCTTCCTTTGACAACACAACATACATACAATATAATGTTTCACCTTTGATCTTTTTTCCATTTATTTATGGTTGGTTATTTAAAATAATGCCAATTCACTTCAAGTATTGGCATCAAATTTTAACCGCTGTTGTACACTAGTGACTCACTTAAGCGTCAGTTATTTAACTGGAACTAATGTTGGTGTGAGTAAAATATTTCCATTTACTTGAAATAGATTTGCCGATTTATTTGTTTATTTATTTAGCTATAATATATTGTAATACATTAAACACACTGCAAGTATTTTCTTTAATTATATACTTGTTTCGCGAAAAAGGGAGGCTACCATTATACCTGGTAGGTGAAGTTGACCAGACATTTATGAGCATTAAGGACCAAACTCCGAATCCATGACGTGACTTCTGTTAATCATTCTCATCCTAAATTTACCACTGTCGGTAGTTTCAAGAATTAACGCAGTCATTTACTGAATATTCTTTGTAAAAAAATTAATTTTAAATTAATTATTTATAGGAGATAAGTATTATGATCAGTAAATATACAGATATGCATTACTGACCACCTCCGAACACAAGGACGGCCAAAAATAGCCACAGTCGGTCACTGTCAAGGTCGCTTTCCCTTTCTCGTCACTGGCAAATGGTGGGGGGGGGGGTGATGATAGCAGCTGTGTTTATTACCGGGGTATATTGTTCTTTTACGGTATGTTAGACAGGTTTATAATACATTTTTATTATTTTAATATACCGGTAATCTTCATTTTAATCCAGCTTCCCAAATGTAAGTTTCAGTATAAAATAATTAGTGGTACTGTAGGACCTTGTGAGTGGTTTACCATGTTTCCATCACCACTCTTGACACGCTAAACCGCAAAATTTAAGAGTTAAGAATTTTATCTCTGGTGCTTAAGACGACCCCCTAACTTTGGGCTGATTTTCTTTTTGTTCAAATTCCGTCTTGTAGGCCGAGATATACGGTATACAGTATACTGTATATACGTACATATACACTAGACCTCATAAATCACTACTGTAATGTGATACAGGTGATGTATATATTCAAATTATTCGCTGTCTTGCAAGGATTCCAGCAATGTAATTTATATTCTGCTAAGTTTAGACTGTACCATTATATGTCAAGTTTAGTCACTTTTATTGGCCTCCAGAACCTAGCCCTATTTTCCCCATTGATTACATGTAATTATATATTGCGATTTAGTACATGGCAAACATCCTTAGACCCTATCTCATGATATATCCCAACCCTACTGTATAGTACAGTATGAGCAGAATGATAGGTATGACGCTAACTCTAGTCTACACAAAAATACTGTACTTTTATTCTTATCCTGATGCATTGCTTTCATTTATTTAACTTCTTCTTGCTTATTATGTATACATCTTTAGTGTAATTCTGTGTAGAAATGTTAGGGCTAAGGCGCAGGAGTAATAGTAAAATTTGTTGAATTTAATTTTTTGGTGTTGCATAGGTTCCTATAGCTTTATCTACATGCCATAGTCCGAGACAAACACTGTAGTCTCACCTATTCCCAACATAGCACTAGAATAGGTACAGGGATTCCCAAGGTTACAGAAGGGTTCCATTCCTAAAAATCTTTCCGTAACGTGAAATGCCATAATGCGAAACCATTTTTCCCATATACAATACTTCCATTATATGTATAAAATTGGATGGTTTTAACCACATACAATGAGTCATTCATGATGTAACATGATAATAAATTTACAAAACACTCGAATTTTACTTACCAGAAACAATGTTGAGTGCTGAAGATGGTGGTGAGTTGAGGTTGTGGGATCAGAGTTGCTGGGAGTTACCTCCTTAAAACATCAAGTTTAATGTTCAATGCAATTCCTTCCTTTAAGGTATCTTTTAGCACCACTGTTTTCACTTGAACTTGATGGTCTTTTCCCACTCATCTTGAATAAGGTACACAGTAACACAGATGCCTAACTGAACACAAACTGAGCAATGCCATTGATGTTGTGGCTGCTACCAGCTGGAGAGGCAGCATAGCTGAGCCAGAATCCACACAAAATGAAAATGATAATTTGGGTGAATTTTTTATTCTATATTGCAATTTTTCTTTTGAAAATCTCAATAAATTAACCCAAATTCCATAAGTCCTAAACACAGACACAACATAACTGAACACAAGCTGGGGAAAGAATTCTAACTGATTGTTGTGGTGAATGCTGGCAACTGGGGAGGTGAGTGGCTTAACTGTGGCCACGTTGGAATAATTGGAAAAAAAGTTTTTATTACTTGGTAATACAGGCATCCTGGATACTGAAATTCCCTCTTCACAGTTTTGCAAATTATGACCAATAAATTAGGGATATGGTCTGTTGTTCCAGAGTCTATTGTTCATTGGTGCTTTAGTTAGTAAGAAAATAAACTCTATAAGCCAAGTTTAGTTACTTTTATTTGCCTCCAGAACCTAACCCAATTTTCCCCATTGATTACATGTAATTATATATCATGATTTAGTATAAAGCGAACATCCTTGGACCCTATCTCCCGATATATCCCGACTCTACTGTACGTCAGTAACAAATATGGAAAGAAATTTTCATTATACGTCATTTGTTTCACACAAGTTATCTGCATCATTCAATGTTTTATACTAAGTATGTGTGTATCCAAATATGTCACATAGTGTTAAAAGCATCTAATGTAAATAGAACTATAAAAAGTAATTAAATACCTACAAGAGTAATGTTTCTACCACGCCAAAGTACATTGGTCACCTCTCAGGACTGCACACTAGGCCATTGTTATACGACTAATTATATTTGTTAACTAGTAGATCCTCCGGAATGTTGAGAGAGACATTAAAGTTTCTCATTAAATTCTCCAGCGCATTCTGAGCCTGTGCTCCTCCACCCACTGTACTCTCCACAATCTTAGGCAGATATACATTATTTAAGTAATTCATTATTTTAATAAACTGATTACCATAAGCCTGCTGAAGGATGGAGCCAGCAGATATTATAAAGTTTTTTAGAAGTTCTGCAGTAATACCAGAAACAGGTGGAAAAGAAGGAAGTCTTGCTAAGAGCTCCCACCCAACCACTGGAGCTTTTACAGGAATCTTATCCTTCTTATTTATCATGGCCAAAACTAGTCCATACATTCTAAGCGCCAGTTGCCCATACGATAATGTATAAATCAATTTTTTCATTGTTTTTCCTGCCTATTGCTTTGTAGTGGTCTTCTTCACTTTGTCCATCTTCTTTATATGGGTACATGGGTATCAAATATGGACATGCAGTGAAAATATTATACAAGAAAAGATCCCACATTTCTGGAAAAACTGTCACAATGTTCACCAATAACCACGAGTACGCTGCAACACCAGCCTCTTGTTTATCATGACCTAACTTCACTATATTGGACATTGACAGATTCTTTGCATAAGCAATTAAAATTGGATTATTGTCTGTTGAACCTTTACCTGGTTCAATTTCTCTACCATTTAAAAAGCCTAATATCTTTTGTAACTTCTCCCTGTTGACTCTGTTATCAGTTAGATTAAGTTGGTTGATGATGCCCAATGCACGCTGTATCTCCATACGCCCTACCAGGGTAGGATGAAGTCACTTTCTCATTAGATTTCAAAAATTGTTCCAATTTTATCTCCAACTCTGCCATCCTGTTAATAAAAATAAATATACCATCATTATTTATATATATATATATATATATATATATATATATATATATATATATATATATATATATATATATATATATATATATATATATATATATATATATATATATATATATATATATATATATATATATACACTCTGTATTAGATACTTTCACACTTTACTAAAGGAATTCTAAATAGCAACTCCAAATCGGGAGATTTGTTGAATTATTGAATTGTCACATCATGTAGCTATGAAGAAAAGAAATACACACCTCTTTTTCCCAAGCTGTACTGTAATTGTTTCATAACTTTCCTCCTGTCTTTGCTCATTCATTAATCTTTGCTCCTCTTTTCTTGCAGCTTCTTGCTTTTCCATTTCTATCTGTGCAGCAGCTTTCAATTTTGCTTCTTCAGCTTCTCGACTTATTCTCTCAGCTTCTAACTTCGCCTTTTCATCTTTTTTTGTATCTACAAAGAAACTTGAAACTGTTGGACAAATCTTCAAAAACTAACTGAACTCTTGTGAGGTGCCAACTCACACCGGGGATGCCTTTTTTAAAGCTGGGACCTTCAGGTCAGGACACCAAATGGTGTTCAGAGGTTCAAGGATCATGCACACACACACACACACACACACGATACCGAATGTGAGGCTGAAAGAGCACTTTAGTAAGAGTACTGTATATAGTACATACATTAACACCCCTAAAAAGGCTCCTAATGTCCAGAGAGACGTAAGTCCAGCAAGAAAAATCTTTTAAGACGTGGGTAGATGTACTCTTTGACTGCCTCAGAGAACTGAGACCCTGCCTTGCTATCTATTAAGGCACTTGGAAATTTACCGGTACATACACAGTAATGTCTGGTTTCCACTCTGTTGGCAATAGGAAGGTCATCCAGCTGTAAAAGTTGCTTAAAATTGGTCTGATGGGATACCATGTTAATTTTCTTGAAAAAGTAGTCATTGTTAATTTGGTTTATCAATAAAAAAATGACACCCTTTCTCACTTAAAGCTAGGTCAAAATTCGGTTTAATGAAAGTTTGACTCATGGGGAAAACTGTGGATGAGGTAGCCTGTGAGACTGCTGTTGTTTTGTTACATGAAATGAAACTATATAAGTTAGGAAAATCATTACAGGTTGACAACCCTTTATCCGAAAACCGAAAGTTTTTTAGAGCAATTTTTTTTAATAGGATTAGCCCACCCAGGCATAGATCACTGACCCACATCGCCTAGGGCGAAAATAATAGGTAATACTAATTATAATAATAAAATATAATAATAAAATTTAAAATAATAACAATAATACTGTATTAATAAAATAATAATAAAGAAATACAAGAAATAAAAGATAAAAAGTGAGAAAACACGACCTAGACCTATGAATTATTATTATTATTATTATATTTTCGCCCCCTAGGCCCCAATGTGATCAGTGACTGCGTTCGGTGGCTAAAAAAAAAAAAAAAATTAACCATTCTGAAAACCGAAAAATTTGAATGCCTCCGCCCCAAGGATTTCGGATAAGGGATTGTCAACCTGTACTATCCTTTAATGTGGCTTAGAAATATAGAAGATGTAATACAAAACTATAAAATAAGAAAAATTATTAGCATGGGTGTGTATAGGTGTGAAAAGAACGTACAGTAATATCTCCGCAGTCGGAATCTCTCAAACCCGAATTGAGAAGCTAGAATTTACTGTTTGAAAATCATTCCAAGCCGAATTTTCCAAAATTTACGCTTTAGGTTCTTTCAGGTTGAAAATTGAGGAATTTCTGAAAATGTCTTGAATAAAGATGAAAGTAATTTTGACTTGACTCAATGTCAGGTGGAGGTAGGGTGGGGATTAGTGGTTTCATATTACAGGTTGATATCCTTATCCAAATCCTGGGACCAGAGGCATTTCGAATTTTTCGCCAGAATGGTTAATTTTTTTTTTTTTTTTTTTGCTACCATACAAGTCACTGACCCACATAGCCTGTGGGGAATATATAATAATAATAATAATACAGGTAATAATAATTCATAGGTCTAGGTCGTGTTTTCACTTTTTATCTTTTTTCATTCTTGTATTTTTATTATTATTATTTATTAATACAGTATTATTGTTACCATTATTATTTTATTTTGTGTATTTTTTAATTAAAATTATTTACTATGAATAATAATATATTATTATAATTATTATTATTATTATTATTATAATAATTAATACATTTTCGCCCCTCAGCCCCATGGGGTCAGTGATCTATGCCTGGGTGGGCTAATCCATATACATATATATATATATATATATATATATATATATATATATATATATATATATATATATATATATATATATATATATATATATATATATATATATAATAAAAAAAAAAAAAGCTCCACAAAAAACTTTGTCAGAGCTTTTCGGAATTTCGGAAAAAGGGTTGTCAACCTGTACTGACCTTCTGATGGAATGTCAGGTCACCCTTTCTTGGGTGGGACATTAGTGGGTCCCATGATCTGAAGATGTCTTGAATTACCCCTAACAAGGGAATTAAGACAGCAGACATAAGGAGTGAGGGTCTTATTGTGTGACAAATTTGCGTGTGTGTGACTCAGGAGTTAAATATCAGCTGTTGAGGAGTTCTTGGCAACACTACCTTCCACTCCAACTCTCTAATTACCCACACCTTTCTGCTTTCTCACTCCATTTATACATACACTTATCACAATCTCTCTAAAAATACTTGTTTCGTGTTTATTCAAGACCTCTTCAGGTCATGAGACCCACTAATCCCCCACAGCTCCATGGAAGTTGAAAATACCAGTTACTGCTGTAATACACAGTTTCATTCAGGCCTATATCATTTTGGATTATTATAGCTTGAAATGGAGTTTCTAACTTAATTAGATCTGCATTTACGGACTCCGAAGTTTAGACTTAAGGAAAACATCCCCAGCACCCAGAAACATTCTGGGGAAGTGGGCTAGTGTCTGTGTGTGCAAGATGTCTAGTTTAGACACTCGGAAACTTTCCCAGTTAACGGAAAATATTCCAGGGATAAGGAATTTTTACGGGTTTGAGAAAGTCGTCTGGTTAGCCGGAAATCTCTAGCCCGGAAGTTTTCTGCACCAATTGTTCCGCCATGAGGATATCACTGTATTTGTGAAGGCAGTTAGCTGCAACTGCATCAAGAGTCCAGCTATGCTCCCCAACTCCTTCCCCAATGTGCCTTCCCCCAATGTGACATCATTGCATACAATGTAGCGTGGCAGCAGCCACATGTCTCCGAGTCAGATGGGTGACTGTCCAGCTGAACAGCATTGCATTGCCTAGAGGATGGTTTGAGTGTGGAAGGAACTATTTTTTTTTTAAATAAAATACAGTGATCCCTCGGTTAACGAGCCGCTCGGTTAACAAAATTTCGGTTAACGAATTACCTTCCATAAGATTCTTAACTTCGGTTAACGAGCATTCCCCCGATTAACGAATTCCTTACGAGCGCCCCTCCACATATTTTCGCTTGCAATAACTAGCTGTCATAATAGTCCGCCAATACAGTAATCGGTTCTAGGGTTTAAATTCCTTACTATTTTAGTAAATATCAAGAAGTTTGTACTATTCAATAATTTTAAGTCTTATATTAAAACTTTTAGTCATTTTAACAATTATTTAACATAATTTAAGTACAGGGAAACTAGTTTTTAGCGCTACCAAACAGCCTGTCAACACACCACACAGGCGTCAGTCTCGGTGTCTTTTCTGTGGAGGTAACATCTTACTTCAGACTCTCCAACATAAATGCTTTTTTCTCTGTTTCCAGTCAAATTATTGGTCATTTTGAAATTTATTTTACATATTGACAATGCCTTCTCTTCTCCCTTCTCCTTCACCCACATTCTAATGCCCATCATCATCATCATCCAGGAGCCTTCTACATACACACCTCAAAGTAAGTGTACTTTACTCCCTTTTTTGTTGACTTTGAGCAATTTTCGGTGAGCTGGAACCACTACCCAAAAACCCATTGACACAATGGTTTCGGTGAACGAATTTTTCGGTTAATGAGCAACCTTCTAGAACGAATTGTACTCGTTAACCAAGGGACCACTGTAGTGCTATTGTATTTTATGATATGCTGTATGCATAAAAATTTTATTAGTTAAATAAAACAAAAAATTGCTATGATGCTAGCAATTTTTTTATGTTTTATGTAAACAATTTGAAATTTTGCTCACCTTTTGCTCACTAAATTGTTTAACTCTGAATCACATTGGTTATATAAAAACAGGCATTAAGTATCTGATGATTAAAAGGAGGATGACAACCTTGTGCCAAAACTGAATGTGAAAATCTTTTCTTATTACCTTTCATCTTAGACTTTATTAGAAATGAAGATTTGGGAGTGTGCTTTATCCAAGCAAAAGTTATTAAATTTAATAATGTACATGAGTCTGTAAAAGATTTTCCGTACACCAAGAAAGCTACGGAAAATTCTGCTGTAAGGTTCATATTACTCAGCAATTCAGTTCTAACTTTGATTCTTGACTGGAAGAAATCCATGGCTAGGGAGGAGTGTCCCCTGACTATGTCCAACGATCTCCAAGGAAGCCAATGATCAGTATTTTTTGCCTTATATGTAGCCTTATCAATTACAGCTACTCCTCAACTTATTTACATACTCGACCTACGACCACCCGCACATACGACCTGCCTCAGTCGGTATGACCAATCCGCATTTCATTTACTGCTTCAGTCGATACCAAAATTTTTCAAATGACAGCGTATTTTCTAGACCGAATGCTTCCGCCCATACAAGAGCTGTCAGGCTGGGTCGCCTGGGCTACAGCACCCACGCCGTAGAGTGCTTAGTTGGTGCTGTGTTTTTGTCGATAGTGATCACGCTGTGTACTAACAATATTTTCTTATCTAATTCACTTTAGAATGACTGGCAAGCATAGAAGTGAGAGTTCTGGTGGTGCTCAGAAGAAAAGAAGACAGTCAATTACTTTTGAGACGAAAATGAAGTTAATAATGCAGTATGAAAGTGGAAAAACGGTAGCAACCATTTCATGTGACCTAGGCTTCTCGCACTCGACCTTATCGACTATTTTGAAGGACAAGGAACATATTCGTGAGGTAGAGAAAGGATCAGCACCAATAAAGGGAACTACAATAACGAAGAAAAGACAAGGTCCTATTCATGAGATGGAAAAATTACTTGTGATATGGATGGAAGATCAGATACAAAAGCATGTACCCTTAAGCCTTCTAACCATACAGGCTAAGGCAAGAAGCCTTTTCCAAAGCCTGAAGGAGCAGGCAGGATGAGTGCGACCAAACCTTCACAGCAAGTCATGGTGGTTCCAAAGGTTTAAGAACCGCTACAGTTTGCATAGTGTAAAGGTGAGTGGAGAGGCAGCAAATGCTGATGTGGGTGCCAAGCTTTTAAGGAGGAGCTAGATCGTGTCATTGTGGAGGGAAATTATTTGCCTGAGCAAATATTTAATGCGGATGAAAATGGCTTATTATGGAAGCGCACGCCAGAACGGACATACAGCCACAAAGAGGCGAAAACAATGCCTGGATTCAAGGCATTCAAGGACCAAATCACACTTCTGTTGGGGGGGGAATGTAGCTGGTTTCAAGATAAAGCCCTTCATGATATATCATTCAGAGAACCCATGGGCTTTTAAACATGTCAGCAAGCACACACTGCCAGTGTTTTATCGCAGTAACAAGAAAGCATGGATGACCCTAGTACTGTTTGAGGGTTGGTTCCTGACTTGTTTCATTCCACAAGCCAAGGAGTATTGTCTGCAACAAGGGATTGCATTCAAGATTTTGTTAATTTTGGATAATGCTCCAGGACACCCACCACACCTGGACGATCTGCACCCTGATGTTAAGGTAGTCTACATTCTACCTAACACTACCTCTATGATCCAACCCATGGATCAAGGTGCTATTGCTGCTTTTAAAGCAAATTATTTACGTACGACCTTCGCTCAGGCTGTTGCTGCTACTGAAGGTGAGAAAACGCTCAGAGTTTTGGAAGGACTACAACATTTTGAAATGTATAAAGAACATAGCTGCAGCATGGGATGAGGTTACAGGTCAGCAAGGCTGGCATTACAGTACAGTATGGTTGATATTTAGTCAGAATGTAATGCAATGATGGAACAGGAAAAATGAGCAAAATTCGCATCAGAACCCAGGCTTAAAAACATGATCATCAATTATTAACCCCTTGAGGATTGTGATGCATTTTGACAGTTTATTTTGGCTATCATTAGACACTTTATGCAGCTTAGGAAGGATTTATGGGAATAAACAGTATAGACTAGCTGAATTAGCCATCTGTCTATTGTCTATATACCTTCTAAATGAATAAAATCATCTAATAATAGTCAGAAAAGAGAAAAGAAATGTGTCATTGATCTTCAAAGGGTTAATGTTGGTGGAAGCGAGTGCACTTACGAATCGGTACTGTCCGGCCAGGCGCCAGCTGGTAGTCTGGTACAGGTACTGATCACGCTAAGGCCACGCAACTATTCACGATAACTTGAGAGTAGTGTCTCCAAACCTCCACACTCCCAATCACTCCTTCCATTGTCGTCGGAGCAGTCATCCGAGGCAGGCAGAGGCACTTTATCTAATATTGCACGTTATTGGTAAGATGACATATTTTTGCTTGCTTGTAAATTAGGTAGATTAAGAAATAAAATTCGCAATAAGGCAACAATATTATGTGGGCACATTTACATATATCACTTAAGAATGTTCCTTTTCAAATCCACACATGTACAGTACAGTACTCTAATAAATTGTTCACAAATAGAGAATTATTTTGATGTAAATATATTTTGGTTGATATGATAAAAGTACGGAATACGGTGCGGTACTTTTTCCGTACTGCACGGCACGGAAAAATAATTGGGGGTACGGCATTAAATTATGTACGATATTTTAGCTAGGTACGGAGTACAGAAAAATATTCTGTACCGTACTGCACTACCAGTCTTGCAGGTCAGTGCATGAATGGAATATGGAAGAAAGTTCTGAAAAGATATGTGAACAATTTCAGAGGATTTAATGAAGATGAAGTAATTTCTGAGATTAGTAACAAGATAGTGGAGTTGGGTAAACAGCTTGAGTTAGAAATTGATAATGAAGATGTTGAGCAGTTGGTTGAAAGTGTAGCAGAAGAGCTAAGTAACGAGGATCTAATTTAACTGAAAGCACAGAAAATTGAAGAGGAAGAAGAGAGTCAAAATGTAGAGGAAGAACCTGCACCCCCAAAAAATTTTCACTGAAACAATTAGCAGAGGCATTTGCTACAATTAATGAGGATGCAAATGTTTGACAGAATGGATCAAAATGTTCAGCGTTTTGCCAAAGTTGACAGAATGGTCCAAGATGCACTTGCTTGCTACAGGGAGATTTATAATGAAAAGAAAAAGCAAACTGTGCAGTCTAATTGACATATATTTTAAGAAGTCCTCCATTGCTGTCTCCTAACGCCCACCAGTGCTGCCTCTTCACTCCTAAAGATGATCCAATACCTTCAGCAAGTACTGTATATTAACCTGTCTGAAGAAAGCTTATATTGATGACCCACAGCCCTGTTTCCTCCTCTGCTTCATCCAGTTAATGTAGTCTCCATGTATAATTAGAAAATTATGGGGCCCCTGTGCATTCAGCTGACTACATTAAAGGTAAGTGCACAGTAAAAACTTTATCCATTCTTCATTATTGATTACTTTTACTGTACTGTATTTCATTTTAGATTTTCTATATTAATTTTTGCATTTTCGACTTACGACCTGGATTTGGGTCCCTAACCCCGTCGCAAGTCGGGGAGCAGCTGTACAGTATTTAAACCAGACATTTTATTAATTGTTAAAATGAACAAACAACAAAGCTCACCTTATGGCCATATCAAATAAAGCAGTCTGCTTGGAAATATTACAAGCTGCAAGTCCGGGCAAAAGAAATTTCTCTAATATAAAACTGGAACGCTCAGACAGCCTACTGGGGCAGAGGGCTGATAAGTGAGTGTGCTTCCCAATTGATTAATAAACTTGAGGTGAAAGGGTTGTGTGATGTACTGATTCCTTAGCTTCCAACTTATGGGCTGCCATGACTTCATACTTAACTTTTCTAAGGGATGGGTTTGAGGGGAAGAGTGCTTATCTTCAGATGAAGCCCGAGGTATTGAGTTAAGGCTACCTTGATTTTCAAAGCCCTGCGACTACACCAGGCATATACACGTCATTCTAGACAATTGCATTATAAAATAAAACATTTTATGGATACACAGATAGGGTAAACAATATATGCCTCAAGAACTCTTTGTTGTTCCCCCTCCCCCAAAAAATGCAATAATCATTTACTTACAAAGAGTTTGAGTAATCGTATCTACATAGCGGAGTTTCTGCTGAAGAGAATTTTGAGCTTCATTAAGTTGAGTTTGTGTTGCAACATTCTGAATGGCACTATGTAGAACATCCTCCACATGGGTCACAGTGTGGTTTAACATAGTCTCAGTTTGAGAGTCTAGAGTTTCACTGCCCTCAAACTCTCTGAAAGATGAATTATACATTATATTTTTATATAAAATATTATGAGGTATGAGGGAAATTCTGTAATGTATGTGTGTGTGTGTGTGTGTGCGCACAATGAAAAAGAAAAACACGAAATTCCCATGCGCTTTCGTGTAATTCACATCTTCAGGGGTGAGTACAGACTAAGGAGAAGTACATAACAAGGTATATATATATATATATATATATACAGAGGAGGGTGAGATCAAGTCCACAATGGTCAGGTATTAAGTAATGACCCTACTAATCTTCAAAAACACCACAGCAGTCGGTAGTCAGGTCAGAGGGTAAGATGACCCAACCTTCTCACCTGTTACAAATCTTCTTAATTACGAAATTATCCAGTTTGTACATACCATTACTCAAATTCATGTTGACGGATTCGGTATGTTTAATGAGACTAGATTCTATAATGTTCCAACTGTCAACTGAATTACAAGGCAATATTGAGAGGCATTATCCCAGTCAATGCAGTGCTTATTATCCCTCAAATGAACAAACAGAGCATTGGATTCCTGGCCTGTCCTAACACTATATTTATGTTGTTTAAGTCTAGTTAAAATATCTTTACCTGTCTGGCCTAAGTAAAACATATTACATTCCTTGCAAGGAACCTTATAAATGCAGCCGCCTGTATTGTTGAGGGAGTTCTTGATTAATGCAGGTGGCTTTTTGAAGATTAGTAGGGTCATTACCTAATACCTGACCATTGTGGACTTGATCTCACCCTCCTCTGTATATATATACCTTGTTATGTACTTCTCCTTAGTCTGTACTCACCCCTGAAGATGTGAATTACACAAAAGCGTTTGGGAATTTCGTGTTTTCTTTTTCCTTGTGGTTACCAGCATATACCTAGATCACGCGCACCTACAGTGATTTACTTGCACACACACACACATATATATATATATATATATATATATATATATATATATATATATATATATATATATATATATATATATATATATATATATATATATATATATATATATACACACAATGGTTAGTTTGACCACCACAATAACCCTTAACCACAAATGGCAAGTATTAAATATTAATATATTAATTGTGTAATGGGGGGGAAACCATGTGCTATTAATACAGTACAGCATTTTCTCTACAATAATCTATTCCAAATTGTGGCTAATTATATTTTCCTTTTCACAAATGTCTCAAGTCACAGACAGATGTCCTCATCTAGGCCATGTCTTGTATGGGGAAGTAAAAAAAATTTCGAGTATGAGTTTTTCAGATTACAAGAGATTATGACCATGAAAAAAGGCAGCAAGCCTACTGGACCAACTTAGATCTTTGTAGGGACAGTTGAAGGATGTTTCTACATAGTTATAAGTAAGTACAGTAACTGAATTGTCAGGAATGCTTGCTGTATCATGTCTATGAACTGGTTTATCTTGGGGATTTTTATTATTATTATTTTTTTTACAGGAATGTATCCCAGCTTATAAAATGGGTCTATAGCAAAAGGTGTTGATTTCCAAAAAAACTGGGGTCTGCCTGTGTCTTAACATCTGGTGAGGTTTTATTGCAAAAAGTAATTTATGAAATATATTAATAGATTTTGTAGTGTAATATGAAATTCAGAGGAAAGAACAGTGTGTTTATCCCTCTCATGGTCTTTTAAACTAAATTGCATTGCTAAGTACTCCTGTGTAAGCACAACCCCTCCCGTTAAGCCGTATCTCACTGAAGAACACTCCTCCCCTAAGCAGGAATGTGGTAACAGTGAACTGGCCCTATCAACCAACTAAGTTCCTCCCACTAGCCTCGTGGGCTGGCAGATGCATTTCTATGGGTGCTATTTGGGTCTGTATCGCTTTACCCAATGTTTACTAAAATGAAAAACTGTTCCTGTCACCGATGCAACCTGTGTTGAAAAACTGCGAGGGGGCGTGATTTCCGACCATGGCCAAGAGTACCGGTACTGTACCAGAAGGTTAACAGTTTAACATTTAAGCTAAGCGCATTGCTTGGTTTCATTCCATAAACATTGTCAGCTGCACTGAGTCTGTCGAGCAAGTTTCAACATGCAACAACTGACCACATGGTCAATGGTGAACAATGTTCCCAATACTGGATCTTATTGTCTTATTGGATAGAAAGACACCCATTACTGGGAATATCCTGTATTGAGAAGTCTGTTATTGAAAGGGTTTACTGTACCATCTTAAGTATAATAATTCTGTATTGTATTTGACTATTTATAGTACTATATAAAAAGAATATCTGGTTTTCAAACATGATACAAGGATAAATCTTTCACATTATTGACAGTTTGGCAAATCTCATCCCCTTGCTGACTCACAACATTAGGTTTGTACTTTCAGGCTTAATAAGGTTGTAGGATCAACAACAATGAGTTTTTTTATGAACTTTGTTGGCTGTGCATCACATGGGGGTTTATGTCTGTGTTCAACATGAGCCAATGAAAGGGGGCCTAGATACTGTCATGTAAACCGTGCCATCGGCCAGCAAGAAGGTTTAAAAAGTTTATACAATTAACAACCCCTCATTCCCCTATACTGTACTTTCTGTTTTTGGGACCATACTGTATATTATGTTTATACAAGCATGTAGTGGGAGCACATGGCAAGACTGAATCACATTCTGCAATAAATCCTTGGACACATCCTCCAACTCTCCCTAGAAGAAACAAACCTGTTGATTGGTTCAGCAATAAGGGATGGAGCCCTCTAAGATAATTTGGTAGTGGTTTGGAGACTACACCTTATCCCAAATCTTTAGTGCAAACAAAAAGAGTAAATGATAATGGAGAGATGTTATCAAGTCAAAGGATTTAATACCAGATGTCACAACTGCATTTATAAACAATATTATACTGTTTTGCTTTATGGGATAATATAAATTGTAAGAGAGGTTCCAAATCATTCCCAAATGGAAGTTTCTACTGAAAAGCAAACTTACCCAAGCAACTGTTGCATCTGTGTTAGTTTTGTAACATAAATTTCCTTGGCATTGTGCAACTGGTTTACAAGTGCTCGCCTTATATCTGCTTGTTCAGCTTCCTTCCGCCTTGCATCCTCCACAACTTCCAATAATCGAGATGAACGTTCTGTGACATACTGGCTGTATTCATTTCTGTGAAAGAACATTGAATTCCAAAGTGTTACATGTATTTCCCATTTTGGAATAAAAGTTTATAATCAATGAAAGTCAGAGATAATGATCACATGCTGCTGTTTTGTTGTCATTAGTTGATGAAAGGGGATGCAGCCAAGTGGCTACAGCACTGGCCACCTGTGCTATGTCTCGGCTCACTGGTTCACTATCAGAGCATCCAAAGACCATCCAGCTGTAGAGAGGTAACTAACTTCACAGCTGAGGGAGTGAAGGCAGTAATGTGCAGTGCTGTCCCTGCCTTCTTGAATACTAAAGGCTATGTATAAGTGTGCTGTATCCACATGATTCCTAGTAGGCAGTCAGGCCTATGGTATCGACAGTGACTACTGTGATATTCCCATTAGGCGGAACAATTGGTGCAGAGCACTTCTGGGGATGAGAGATATCCGGCTAACCAGACGACTTTCTCAAACCCGGAAAAATTCCTTATCCCAGAAATATTTTCCAGTTACTGGGAAAATTTTCCGAGTGTCTAAACTAGACATCTTGCGCACACAGACACTAGCCCACTTCCCCAGAATGTTTCTGGGTGCTGGGAAAGTTTTCCTGGAGTCTAACTACCGGAGTCTGTAAATGCAGTTTTAATTAAATCAGAAACTCCATTTCTTTACTATAATAATCCATTATTTATATATATATATATATATATATATATATATATATATATATATATATATATATATATATATATATATATAGAAGAATTTCAATTTAACATGTCAATTGAACCCAGAGGGTCCCTGCTATGAACAACATATGGGGATTAATTCAATAGAAACCAGCCCAATTCCCAAACCCATTTCTTTTGACTAACATAACTATGTAGGTAAAATTTATCTTAACTTTATGATGGTATGAAAAGAAGTAATATAGAAGAGGTTTTAGGAAAGATAAATTAACATAGGAAAATGAAGGTTACCTAAGAGAAACTAAAGTTAGGT